AGCTTCAGGCCTGTATATAGCAGTCTTCCCTTGAGTGCACATACTACCTCCATGAGATGAGAACTTAAGTTACTGTAACTTTAAGGACACAAATACCACATAACTCTCCTTATCCTCTATCTGTCTTATATTTTTAGAATTATAAACAGAAAAATATATCATTACAGCACATTTCCAGACACTAGAGCTGCCAACCCTCCCTTTTTCAAATGTCCTTTGCTTCTGGAAGAGAGGGTAAAGATGAGGATGAAATGGCTTAGAGAACGAGATCAGAAATTATCTTTGATCTATCAAAGGTGAATTTTACACTTTTCCGATGGAGAAAACTTCTCTATAGAATTTAATCTTCATTAGGGCATCATGCTATACAATTAACCTCCCTAAGTCATGGGAGTACTCTGAGGATCTCTTGACAAACTGGCCTCTAACTCCTCAAATGCAATTCTGTTAGCACAGTACCTAGTGTAGGGGTGGTACATAGCAGACATTCAGTAAATACTTGTGGAATGGATGAGTAAACCATACTACATAAAATGTAAGAGAAACGGGATACCAAATTATTGTTGTCTACGGAAATATCGTCGACCCTGCCCTGTGTTTAAAGATATATACTTTTTTTCTTTTTTAATTTGCAGTACCACAAAATGTATTTGCTTTTTTCCATTGTACACTAGTTTATTTTTACATGATGGTTAACCAAACGTCAAACCAATTTGGTGAAGGATATATTTTAAAAGGCAAAAAAGAGATTTTTTAAATCTGCATGCTAAAACCTGAAAGTTTTCATAAAGAATATTTCAGTTTAATTCTATTATAAGGCATATTTCAATTTAATTCTCTATTAATCCATATTCTGCAGGATATTAATGTGTGATTCATTAACCTCATTCATTCATTATGAAAATAAAGTAGTAAAACATATTCATTATAAATGGACTCATTATGAAAGTAATTTGCAAATTATATTAAGTCCTTACCTTCTAAAATAAACCACATATTTTATTCACATTGCAAACTGTGAATAAATTCACATTTTATTCACATTGCAAACTGTGAAAAAAGTCCTAAACCATATTCCTTATTTTACAAATTTTGTTTGGTATAAATCTCTCAAGTTACAGTAGTCCCCCCTTATCCACAACAGATATGTTTCAAGTCCCCTAGTGGATGCCTGAAATTACTAATAAAACTGAATCCTAAATACACTATGTTTTTTTCCTTTACTTATATATCTTTTCACTTAAAGGAACCACTTTATGGCTTCTTTTTTGGTACATCCAAATTGCCAGCATCAGTACTCTCATGCTTTGAGGCCAATAAGTAAAATGAATTACTTGAACACAAGCACTGCAATACTGCACTGGTCAATCTGATAACCAAGATGGTTATCAGAGGAATAAAAAATTACATCACATAACTCTACCCAACAGAATTATAATTATACCACTTATGTAAAGCTTGAAATAAAGGTAAAAATTCTCACTCAGAATATACTACATTCTTGATCCTGGGAAAATATGAAATCCTCTTCTATTTTTTTTTCTATCTTTGGATTATGTCATTTTTTAAATTCTAGTATGTAACATAGAATTCAAGCAACATAATAAGAGCTTTAAATACAATGTGTATCCCTCTTTAGAGATATAAAATCCATCATTCAAAGCAGATTTTATGTACTTCCTATGTAGTAAGACTAGTAATACTGTTTATTACTGAGAATAGACCAGTACAATTTAGTTTCCCAGGAGAAATGAAAGAGTCCCATTCGTTACTCACAGAGATGCCTCATACAATAAAGTCTGTCATTCTTTAGCAGCTCTAATGGAGAAGCCAGAGGATGTTGCTGCTAGAGAATAATTTACTAACAAAAGCAATGGAAATAAATTGCTTAGAAATGGCGTTAACATGGACCAGCAATGACTGTAAGTGGGTGTCAGGAGGAAGCAGAGGGACAAGCTCACCCCTGTTATTTCTTCTGGTCTCAGAGACCTTCCCTCTCAAGACAGATGATCAGTGGTTGGAATTCTCAAATGGAAAGCTTTGACCTTTTTAATTTTTTACAGTATAGTATCACAAAGAATCTCAATTTAAACAATTATGGCATTTAATTTATATTTGGGAACATAATGAAAGGTTTTATGTTGGCCAGGAAAAAAAAAAAAAAACAAATGTTAGAGTGGCTTAGCAGATCTTAAACTTAAATAATGAAAGTACAACCTAGGGATTCTTCACAGAGACAAATAAAAACTAAAAAATTGAGTGAAAGTATTGATACTTTAATATGTAAATGTTTATTGATAAAGAAAGAACAGATGATGTCAGACATCAATGCCTATTCAAGCTCAGCTGTGTCATTTAAAAATTTTAGCTGTCTAGAAATGGCTAAGATCAATATCAATGTTATCTTCCTTGGTATATAGATCTACAAATTATTGATAAACTAGTCAGGTCACACTTAATTATACTTTATGAAATAAACAAAAAATGTATCCAGTCTTAAGTCACAAGATCAAGAATGTAAAAAGTTAACTCTATGTTCTTTATATAGGTTTACTGTTCTGGGCAAGCTATTCAACCCTGGCCATTTTAAGGTTTCCCCCAGCTCGCCCCTACACAGCAACTGCAGAGATCGTTGGGCCAAGGTTTAGTTGTGTGTTAGGGTGCAAGGAAGCTTTGGAAAGATCTCTACATCATCATCAAACTGACTTGTACAGGTTTCCTCCTAGATGCAAATATTCCCATTCACACAATTCCTCCTATTCTGTCAGTGCCTCTGGGACATAGAAATATTTGCAGACACTGAAAATCCAGGGTTAGAATGTGGAACCCCTAGATGTACCACATGACCATTACCTGCTGACGTCTAGCAGGGTGACAGCAGAGAGCATTCGCTCTAACTTGTTGCCAATAACAATCATTTTCATGATACCTGGCTGTGACATCATTAGTGGTCCCTGAATAAAGTGGCAACTAGTCTCCTAAGATGGTCTCTGCAGGAACCATGACTCCTGGTATTTAGATCCCTTCTACAATGAATGGGGCTGACACCATGACTCACGTGCATCAATGAGATATGGCAGAAGTGATGCTGTACCAGATCTGGATGAAAGCCCAAAGGGTTGGCAGCTTTCGATATTGTAAATTTGGGAGCCCTGACCCGGCATGCACAGAATCCAGACACCACGTGGATGAATCACTGGGAGAGAAGACCCATGGAGAAAAAGAGGCCTGAGACCACATGCAGAGAGACAGAGAAGCTGTCCTGCTTCCTGGCCTTCCAGCTATCACTCCCAGGACCTGCAAATGAAGCCACCTTAGATGTTCCCTTTCTGGCCACCATCTGACTGCAGTTGCCCAGGAGACTGCAACTTAGACCAACGAAAAAATAAAAATAAATTAAAATCTATTTATTTAAGCCGAGGTCAAGGATAGAGTAGACAATAAGGAGAATAGAAAATAGGGAGGCTGGGAGATAGGGATAAGCCAGTTGGGCAGTTCAAGTTCAGATAAAGGTCACACTTCACTCCAGGTATGGCCCTAGAAGGCTGGTCAGGTACAAACAGTGAAGGCTTTGGCTGGGGAGGCTGCAGTGGATGCAGCATGGCTGGAGTGCACTAGCGGGCACTCTAGCTCTCCCCCAGCAGGACGCATGCCTCTGGTGAAGTGAGGGACCCAGGCTGTAACACCCACCCCCTCACCCCATGGCACCCTGTGTCCCTGCTGAGGTGCCTTCATTCTTGATAACTATTGGGGGAAGTGGCTTCAGTTATAAGAATCTACCTGCTTCTATCCTATAGACTATATGGGACTCAGGGAGAGAAATAAACGATTTCAACACTTTGAAGACTCCTCTTCCACACCTTCGTGGCAGGGCTAATGGAGAGGTTCAGGGTAGGTGGATGCCTAGCCCCTAGATCCTCTGTGGGTGGAGTCCCCATATCCACCCGGTGGTGGCTGCTGGGCACCCCTTGCAGCGCCTGCCCCTCCTGGTCTTTGCTATGCAGACACCAGTCTCAGATCCTACCCTGCAAATCCCTCCTCCTGGGGCACCAGGAATCTTCCAGAATTTGTAACCTTGAGCCCATTTCCTGCTGCGTTCAGCTTCAGCTAAATACAAACTTAGATTCCAATTAGCTGCACACTGATGTCGCCCTGGAACTGTTTGAAAAATGACCATTCCTGATGGTGGGTTTTTTTTTTTTTTTGGTTTGTTTGTTTTTTTTTTTTTTGCTATGCAGTATATTATTAAAACAATCAAAACAAATCACAATCACGTCTATAGATTAAATAGTAGTATTGTTAACTTCCTGAATTTTAATAATTGTGAAGGGTGTCTAGGAATTCTTTATACTATTGTGATATTTCCATAAGTCTGAAATTATATCAAAATTAAGCATTATAAAAAACAAAGATTCGTGCACGGGTCCTACTGAAACTTTAACCAGAATCTCTGGGGATAGGCCCTAGGCATCAGTATTTTCATATCTTCCAGGAGATTTCAGCGTGGAGCTGGAATTAAGAAACATTGAGCAAAATCTGCCAGTGGAAGGACTGAGAGAGAGTAGACAACAGGGAGGCCAAGAGATAGGGGCGAGCCAATTGGGCAGTTCAAGTTCAGAGACAAGTGGCCATTTTTTTTTTCAAAGCTGATTTCCTACCAGTATCCTCTGAATGTGCCCCCAGAAATGACTGCTATTTGACAAATAACATTATTTTAAAACCACAAGAACTGATGTTAGTAGAATGGAATGATTCCTTGTTATATGATGATGAACAAGGAAATCCATTATCCTCACTTCCAACCCACTGAGCGCAATCCCTTAAATTATCAGTTCGATCTACCCTTCACCCACTGGGATTTCACTCTCTTAAATAGGAATGAACCATAACTTTTCCTTGTACCTTATGGCAATCAAATTTTTACATTTTGGTGATATGAGTCACTTTTAGAAATTTTTTTCTCTAGTCTGGGCATTTTCAAGTAGATTTTACATGTGCAGTATATTTTTAAACATGAATCAAAAGAAATCTTACAGCATAAAATTACATAAATGCTTTCCAGTTGCCACAGGATTCTGAAGTTGGCAATAAATTTGTCACCAGAATGTAAATCTTCTTCACAGAAATGTGTGCATTTTTATCATACATGATCGCTATGGCTAACATTTACTCCACTGAGAACTTCAACTCCACTACACTCTCCTCAATAGAGCCACTTTGTACCCAGGCTGGCTCACCTTATGGTCCCAGGATGGACACAGAAGCTCTAGGACTCTCAACCAGACTCAGCAAGGTGAGTTGTTGCTTACTTATGAGCAGGATTACCTTAGCATCATAAAATGGCTGCAGTTGGGTCACATTCCCATTTCTAACCCAAATACTAGTAAGGGGATGTTTGCTTGAAAACTCAGGATCCACCTCTTTTAGCTGGAAATGAGTTCAGCATCCCCAAAAGTCTTAGTTCACAGAGAAACAAAACTAACATCACCTTGGGGCTCATTAGAAATGTAGGTTCTCAGTTCCTCCCCAAACCTGCGGAACTGGAAGCTGAATTTTTAGCTAGATTCTCAGGTGATTCATATGCACTCTGAAGCACTGCCCTAAAGGTCAATGGAAAGCAGATACTCAAATACAATATGAACAGTTTGGGTGGTAGGAAACAGTCACTGGCCAGGTCTGCACTGTGCTGCCATACCATTCATTTACAATAACAGTGTTTCTAATTGCAGATGCATTTTGCAATGGATGAAATATTTCTGTTCCCCTAAAATTTATGTGTTAAATCTTAACCATCAATATAATAGTATTAGGAAGTGAGGCATTTGAGAGGTACTTAGGATATGAGAGTAGAGCCTTTGTGAATAGAATTAGTGCCCTAATAAAAAGGACCCAGAGAGCTCTCTTGCCCTCTTCCTGCCAGATGAGGATACAGCGAAGAGATTGCCATCCACAAATCTGGAAGAGGGCCTCATCAAGAACCCGACCATGCTCTCATCCTGATCTTGGACTTCCAGCCTCTAGAACTATAAGAAATAAATTTCTATTGTTTATAAACCACCAGTCTATGCTACTTTGTGACAGCAGCCTAAACTAAGAGAAATTTCTAAGGTGTAATGGACTTGATAAACTCTCCAACCTTTTAGGACCAAGGGCATTACTGATTTTTCCTTAATATTTGTGCATTTTTATTCTATATGGCTATGAATGAGGGTCAAAGGTGTATTAGATAGCATCATAAATGAACTGAAAGATAATTGTATTTTTAAGAAATGCTTGAAAAAATACATTCTGCATCTCCTATTCAGATCCTTTAACAATAATCATGAGAGAGGGAAATCCTCTGCTAAATACAAACTCTCTTTTTGCTACTAACATTGACAGAGGTTTTAACAATGATTATTTTATTTTCTTCCTTTGATTAGTTTGAACTTTAATGTAGAGGGTATGAGTTTCAGTCTACACATTTACAAAATAGTTTTATTTTGCTAAAACTAAGCTTAATTTCTATGTTGAACATTTAACTCACTGGATAGTAGGTGTGGTAAACTGAACAACAGCCATGCAAAGATTTCTCAGTCCTAATCCCTAGAATTTGTCGATGTGTTGCTTTATATGGAAAAAAGGGACTTTGTAAATGTGATTAAATTAAGGACCTTGGGATGGGGAGGTAAATCTGGATTATCCAGGTAGGTCTGATGTAATTACAAGTGTCTTTGTAAGACAGAAGGCACTGTGAAGAGGAAAGCAGAGAGAGAAGATGCTACATAGCTCTGATGACAGAGAAAAGAACTTCGAGCCAAGGAATGTAGGTGGTCACTAGAAGCTGGAAATGTCAAGGAAACAGCTTCTCCTCTAGAGCCTCCAAAGGAACACAGCCCTGCAGACTCATTTTAAACTTCTGACTTCCAGAATTGTAAGATAATAAATTTATTATGTGTAGGTTTTAGTTACTAAATGTGTGGTAATTTGTTTCAGCAGCAATAGAAACTTACAAAGTACTTTAAATTCAGTCTTATTGAGGATCCTCACTGTCCATAGGCATCTGTCAGGATCCTAGGGATCTGTCACAGTGCTCAGATGCAGGGAGAGAGGTCCACTTGGTCTTCAGCCATCCATCCACACATGGGTGTTGACGTGCTGCCATTCCTATCTGTGTAGCCCCTTCAGCTTCATGGATCTCTCTACTCTCCGGCCTCAGAACACAGACTCTGGAAGAATCTATATGGATAACTACTCTACTACTTCTAGGGCAGCTTCATAATTTTGTACAAAAAGTAGAGAAAAATGTTATTAAATGTCCTAAATATAAAGCTTTTCCCTTTTTTCTGTTGTATCTCTCTCACCTTGTCACAGTATATGTTATTTGCTATTTAATGCTAGTCTAAATAAAGAAAAAGTAAAATATTAAATAATTACTATGAATTTCACTGTTCATCTTTATATTGTGCAATGGCAGTTTTAAGTGCAAGTAGAGGAGCATCTAACACATATGTACAATCCTTAAATTATACAATTCATCACTTGTAGCTAGTACATACATATGTATTTTGTTTTTGCAAGAACAGCAGAAACTCTGCACAAAACTAATTCAACTGTTTTTAGTTCACTTCTTGATATGTGTACATTTCACCAGTACACTTTACCTTCTGGCTGGTGATGAGTAAGGAAGGACCAAAATAAAAAGGAGCAGTGGGTTGCCTCGTCACTCCTTTTCCTTTGTCGTTATCATTTTCAGCATAGGTGGATGACTAATAAAGGGAAGTACACAGTAAGAAGGATATATCAAATCCCTTGGTTGAGGTAACTCCTGTTTCTTAGGGTGCAATTGACTTCTTTCTGCATTCGAAGCACCTTCTGGTTCTGATGGGAAGCATAGACTCAGGGCCATCAGTGCCTCCAATTACTCAGTCACAGACATAATACACTTTGAGTCCACTGGAATTCTAAACTCAGGCAGGATTGGAAAATGGTCCTGTGCTCATGCACATGCTCTGTTTTTCCATTAGACTTCACTTACAAAACACAAGTTCAAAGATAAAATCATTTTCAAGAAGGCAGCAGCGAATCATTAAACCAAGCACATGGCGCTTCTGAGAGGCTGCTTCCTCTCTAGACTCTCACTTCCTCCCAATGTCTCTGTCCCGGATGTTGGGCTCAAGGACCTTCTACTTCATTACTTCCTGTCTCTACTTTCCCAAGCCCAAAGGAATCTTTATCTAGTATGGGAAATTGAAACAAATTAAAGTTTTATAGTCCTAAACATTTTGTTTCCAGTTGCAAAGTCACTAGCCAGGCTGCACTTCTTAGGACTAGAAAGGCTGCATTAAGTCCTCTGCAACTCTTTAAGAAGACTCTGGAAGTCTCTCTAAGAAATTTTGCTCTCTGAGGCTAACACATATTGTAAGAGTAAGCTGGTTTTATGGGAGAGTTAATGAGGCACTGAAAATTATGTTACTTATTCCTAACATAATAAAATATGACTGACACAACATAAATTCCATTTCTCTTCCAACACACATTCTTATAAAAACTCAATAAAATAGCTTTTATTGAGAACAGATTTTGATATTTCTTTTAACTTCTTCAATAAATTGCCAGATTTCATGGACACTGTTAATTATATGCTTAAATGCAAATGCATTTAAAATATTTTATTATTGCTGTCTAAGTAATTACTTAGAGGCAATGTAAAAACCATATGTAATTGCATAGACTGAAGATATTTTTATTTTAAAGTTTTCAGCCTTGAGAAAGAAAACTGGCATAAACTCTTAGAGAAACATTTTTCACTTCAAAACTTTAACAGAATACCTATATAGATTAAAAAAAATTTTCCCTTCGTGAATGCATGTGTGTTTAGGTGGATAAAGAGACTTTTAGAATCATTTACAATCATTCATTTATACAGTCATGGTTCATAGGTGAAGGGGGAAAAAAAAAAACCTTGGCAAAGTAAAATCCAGTTTTATTGTCTTTCTCTCCTTTATTGTCTCATCGAAGTCAAATTCTCAAAGCCTGACTCTTCCAAGGAATAGCAAATTACTTTGCATTTACATCACTACCTTTTTCTTTATCAAAATCTCATCTGGGAGCATATAAAATCAGTAAGAAAAAGGACAAACAATATTTAGATGACAGGAATAAAGACAATTGACAAAAATTTGTAAATTTATAAAGGCTGTTACATTAGGCCACTCCAGAGGGCACCATATACACTGCACTCCACATCAAGCAACACAATGACTGTTGTTCACTGCCTTGTTCTTAACATTTTTTATTATGTTCGCATTTGGTACAGAGGTTAGGAACATGGCAACTGCTTAGTTTTAAATCTTCCCACTTCTCTTGGAAACCAAATAGAACACCAAAGAGAACAAAAAAATAAGCCATGAAGTACATCTTTGGTGAAAGTAGGAGACAGAGAAAACTCCACAAACTCCAAATTATGTGTAAATGTGGCCAAAAGAAACTGAGACCAAGTCCTGTGCAGGAAGCTGCCAGATGTAGTGGGGAAGAATAGAGAGGCCTTTTGATATCAAATGTTTGTTAGAAATCAACAAATATCCCATTCTGAGTAAGAAATATTTGAACAAAAAATTAAATATACCAGGGCGTACTTGCTGAAAAAGGAGAAGAAAGTCATGAAACTTCTGAGTGAAACCCAGAAAAGGAAAATTTCAAAAAGTACCCACTTTAGAAAAAGAAAAAGGGATGTCTTAGAAGACAGGGGCTATGTCTCTCAGTAGTAGCAGCTAGTGAAGGGATAGGGAGTTCAGGGTTAGTAATAGAAGGACATTGAAAACCATGTAGGTTCTAGAGCCAGAAGAAGCCAGGCAACACAGAGACCCCTATTATCAAGAAACAGTCCATATGGTAGCAACAAAGCAGAAAAACCTTGGAAATTCACATCTCCCCACTGTTTATCCCCAACTCTCCACATATAGAGGAAACTCCTGAAAAATAGATAGTCCAGGGCAATACAAGTCATTCAAATTTGGTAACAACAAAAAGAATGAACGAAGTGATTGTGGAATATTCCAGATATGACATGTAAAGAGCTCAGAAATCATTACTCTGTCTTTATAATAAGAAAAAGCTAAATAAACTAAAAATCAATGACTTATCTTAGATCTTGCAGAACTAATGTCGCAGGGCAAGTCACTACCTTGAAATCTGGAGAGACAGGTGAATCAGGAGATTCAGAGCCAAGATCTTCTTACCAGGAGCAAAAGCTGCTAGAAACATGAACTGGTAGAAACACATAAATTGTAATTTTGATGAATTGCTAGAGGCTGAGTGTGAATTAGCTTGAGAAAGAGAAATTCTTGGATGCCTCAGTCTTAGGGGAAACCCTATCCTTTTGTAAGTTTTATCTCTAGGAACTCCATTAAGTTCTCACAGAGAAGGGCCAAAAAAGGAGCTCATTGTGACTCTGGGAAAAGGAAGGCAGAAGAATAACCACTGTGAAATATACCCAAATTGTTCTCTGTAACAAAAGCCTAGTCTCCAGGGCAGGGCCGGTGGCATATATTACCAGAGTTTTATCTCACCTGATGCAAAGTGCATTCTCCAACACCACCTCTTCTAGCCTAACTATCTCAACTAAATGGGGGATGGTGTGAGGATGGGGAAACATAACAGTTGAGAAGGTCATGGTCAATGGACACAGGCTCACTAATAGAATGATATTTAATTGATTATAAAAAAATTATTTAAAAAATTTTATAAAATATTATAAAATGATTCCCTTCAATCATATCTTACTACTACACCAATTAGACATCAGTATAATAATGAATTATAACTAAAAGAGCTGCAAGATGCAGCTTGAGATTTCTTAAGGAAACCCAAAGATTACAAGACGAAAACAAGAACACTAGAAGACTGTGAAGTCTCTGGTATATATAGCTACAGCAAATATGAAATGTTATTCTGCTCCTAGTCAGGTTAATGTAAAACCCCACACTAAAAGTCAACTTACCCAGTTCCCACTAACTGATATATTTTATGTCTGGCTTTCCACAAAAAAAATGTATATAAGGCAGACTGAAAGGCATGAG